TAAATGGCCACGACATCCAAGTATCCTTCCCCTGTTAGAGCAAATTTACACACTTCACTGGACGATGTCTTATAAAACTACAATTTTTGCGAGTCCTATCAATTGTGAAATTGAAGAAAATTGACAAGCATCGCTATAGCTTCTGTCGGAACATGTTTCGCAGAAATTTCTGAGCCTTTTTTCTATTTTTCTATGCAAGAATGTTGTGTTTACATCATTGTGTAATGTGACGCAGTGAAGCCCATCGATCATCATTTCTTTTTTAGAAGGAGAAAATTGCAAAGCTGCAAGTTCGCCACGCAAGTGGTCTGGTAGTCCACAAATATTAGACTTTATTCTACGTCATAAACTCTTCTCCTTTGGTCCAGACAAAGCAATAACGTCCAGAAATAGCGGTTATGCATAGCTAGATAAGAATGAACAAGAACTACAGAATGTCTAACTGCAAGCAAACAAATCAGCAAGACAGCGAGCAGTTTTTGCCTTTACGCTCTAATTTTCTAGCACTTTGAGATTTTTTCCTGCTTTTTCAACAGTTGCGAACTTTGTCTGACACGAAAAGAGGGACATTTTGCATCGCTACAGTACGCTGTATACCATATGACGTGTAAAACAGTTCGCGACTATGCTTATCGTATGAGTTTTCTTCCTCTTGCCGTACTGTTATAAGTTACTGTAAGTGCATAACAAAAAACTTGTTCAAAATGAGACTACGGTAGCATACGGTACAGATAAGTGGCAAAAATCCACGAAAACCATTTAGTCAATAAACTGTAAGTTCGTCAACTGACCGAGTCAACTTCATAATAGCAATGCAATCCTCCATCATCGTCACATATTGTGCTATTGTACTCCATTTCTAGGAGATATCTAAAAGGGGAAATGATTATTTGAATGTTTTTGTGTTTCAAGTATTCGAGTCCTCACCGTCCTCGTTGAAGTCGCTCCTTCAGCACCAACCTAGCAAGCTTCTTTTGATCTTCTCTCTTCAGAGTCTTTGGGTACACTCTTTTACCTAAATTTTATCCTAAAAATGTGATTTGAAGAAATGCTGCTGCTTACCTTCCCTCCTCAATCGTATCCTTTCGATATTTACACGGGTACCTACATGAAATAGAATTTCATCATCCGTAGAGTTTCCAAACGAATCCAAATGTACAGTCAAACTTCCTCGAACGATTCTTTGTTGAAATTGGGTTAAATCTAACTAAAACAGCTTTCACTTAACTTTATAACTTCTATAAATGGAAAAGTTTGAACATACGTTGAGATCATAATGAAGTGGTAAAGTATGAGTGGGTAAAGGCACTAGAAGAACTTCTTGTTTTCTCTTTCCATGACGTGCATGAAGCTCTTCCATAAATTCATAGGATTCATAAGCTGGTGGAGAGACATCCATCAAAGTGAAGTTCCGTTGTGGTTCAAGCTAAATCGTAATGACGTCAGCATTAGATTTATGAATGCATTAGAATTTCAAAAAGAGAATGAAGACACTGATGTGTAAAAAATCAAAGCCGCTCATTTTTTTGCAAAAAAAAATCGGGATTTAACGAGAAATTAGTCGTTTACCGTCGCATCGCTGTAGAGCACTTGACTAATATTTTATCGGGTCGATAAAAAGCTTCATGCCCGCTTCGGCAGACGTGTTTATATTACTTATATACCAGCGTAAGCTTTATAGATACTGTAAGGTTACGGTAGGCTACCTGCTCGGATCTACCTGAACCATTGTGGATTGTTGCTAAAGCCGCCCAAAAAATACCTCTTCAAGCAAATTTCGGGTTAACTCAAGCTTGAACCATCGTATACCTGCCGTGATTTCTTGTTGTGCAGCGCCGTAAAATTTAGGAATACGGTAGGTGTGCGGTAGGCTGTTTGTTCTGATTTACTCAAGCCTTTCAAAATTCGCCTAAAGATTACCGTTTTAATCAAACTTTTGAATAAATTGGCGCTAGTCATAATATCTATGATTTTCTGTTGATTCAGCATCGTAATTCTTCGGATTACGGTAGGCATATTGTAGGCTATTCACTCGGGTCTACTAAAACCATAAGTGGGCTGTTTGAACCAGCTTGAAAGTTACCTCTTCACGCAAATTTTTGGATTTCCTATTAGACCTATCGTATATCCACCGTAGTTTTTTGTTGGCGTAGCACCGTAATCTTACGGGATACAATAGGTATATAGTAAATTTGCTCTGATCCACTT